TAGCAGTCAGCTGGGTAACTGAGAAGCTTTCGTGCCACTGACGTCATTAAATATGATAAACTTGACGTCATGCAGGCTTTGCTTCCAAACTACCTCTATTCTCACGCAAGCTCGATGTTGCCACTTTTTGATAGCGTTAAACAATACGGATGACACTCACCTGCACCAGACCCAAGACACCCCGAAGCATCAGAAAACTTTGCGACAAAGACCACGATTGATTTAAAATTGTCTGCATTTTGTATTTTGCTTACAAATGAAAACTTTCCAAGCACATTTCATTTTCATCTAAGAACTTCACAATATGTCTAGTTTTCTCTCTGGTGTCCCAAGCTCTTTGAATACATTGATGCGGACAATTTTAGTTCTGAAATCACCAGCATGACACGTGATAAACTTTCTTTATCACTCTTCTGACAGAATTGCGCTACATTCGTTTTAAATGTCACGACGATTGACAATTATTGTTGTGGGGAAAATTATTTTTCACCCCAATTTTGATGAGTTTATGCAGGATGCGTTTTTCTTTAAATCAGATAAATAACAGAGTCATGAAACATGACTAACACTATCTTGAGGGGCAAGCGACATCTGAGTGTGCTTTGGTCGGGTACAAAATTTCGATAAGCAGCCGGAATGCTCCTCTGTTAGTGGAATCACGCTTGGTACCTCCTCCAAGGAAAATTGTTGCATTCACCTGGGCCGAGAACAAATCCGGGACACTTGTCCGATAATAGTCGAAGGCAACTATGTTTTCATCGTCTCACTGTTTATTAACGAAGTCTAGTGTGAAGGTGGTTTGATTGATAGGCGCAGCGGCGGCGGGCACAGATGATCTCCTTCGCACCTGCCTTGCACTCTGTCCTTTTTTGTTCGTTCAGATAGCCAACGCAGAAGTCACTCGGTACCTTTGGAGCGACAACCCGCTGTTCATGTGGCGTGATGAGGCGACTTGCATCTCGCTCGATGACTGAGCAGGTGCAACCCTGTCCCGTCCATCTGCCTTACCATGATCCCGCAAAAGTATACGACGGGACGTTGGCAGTGCCTGAGGCGAAAGCGTTGGATTATATGCGACGCGGACCCCGGTGTGCGGGCGGTTCATTATCTGCGACAAGTTAGGTTTTATTTTTTGTTATGGTATATATACATGCATATATATACATATATATATATATATGTATATATATATATATATACATATACGTACACCTTTTTCGTCATTGTCGAAACGGATCATTCTGCACGCCAGAAAGAATCCCTCAACAAAAAGCTTGATTGCCATTTTGGTCGTCTTGCTTCTAATGGTGGGAGCTAGGCCTGGTATATTTTAATTATCAGCCGCGAGTTAGCACCTCCAAAAGTTTTCCACGTTATGAATTGTGATTACCACCTGATCGCGCACGACCAGCAACCGGTTACAACACTAAGGGACGTAAGTTAGCATCTGCCTGCGTAAGATTAGTTGGATAAAGCTGGGCCTTGCAAGAGAGGAATAGGAGCACGCTAAAGAATAACAAATCAGGAATTAAGGCAAGATTTATCGAGAATCTTGATTAATCTTGAAAAATTAAGAACTAATAAAAAAAGATCAAGATGCCAAGTGGCGAACACTAAAGGTACTTTCAGTGGTGCGAAAGGATGTTTTTACCCGTGCGGTATAGATCAAGCTAGTAGTGATAATCAACCCACGGAATTTCCAGATGGACGGGTCAGCCCTACATTTTTTCGTTTATTATACATTTTTTAGAATAGATAGCATGCACCACCACTCACCACACGTTCGGCGAAATTGTTGTGTGTCTTAGGCGAACAAGCCACTTGTGGGCTCCAGGATGTCATTTGTGTACATGAGATACGCCACGAAATTATGTTTGAGGTAAGGCACTGAAGACTTTGCTAATATTCCGGCAAGCACACCAACCGTTCAGGATGTCAACACATGTGCTAATTGGAAAGCTGCTGAGCTGAAGATTCACAACTGCGCTGCTACTTAATGTGTTCGTACGCAAACTTAGGTCCAAAGCAGACGCAGTTTTGAATTACTTCTGCTTATGTTTCAATAAAGGCATGTTGTCGAAATATCAACCCAGCTATACCCTCATTCTCCTTTTTTTTCTCTCCGAGGTATAAGGCTAATACTACTGTCTTATCTATGCGAAAAATGTTCCTCGGTAATGCACTGAACAAACATACATGTATCCTTGAGATATACCCAGCTAGCCACGAGCCAGGCCTATCGCACCCCCTCGTAGTTCACCAGGGACGCTTGAAGGGAGCGTCCCATTTTTGTTGTTGTATATTCCACTTGTTGGAACGTCAGACGTGTACGATTTGATCAGAAACACCAGTTTTCTCGGAATCATTCTAAATAACTCAATGAAGTAGCCGACGCTACGCGAGAAATCTCATTTGGCCCCGCGCTCACCGCTATGGAAGCAATACACTTCACTTGGAATTTTTATATTACATACTGTTTCCAATGTGTGTGTTCTGTAATGTTTGCGACGCATTAATGCAGTCAAATGGCTGTGCAATAAATTATACGAAAGCTTGAAGCACTCTGTCAAGACAAAAAGCTCTGCAAACATGAAGCTCTCATCCCGCAAATTTAACGAAACGTTATACTGTGGCCTCGGTTTCTCCCTTATGACGTTTATCCGCATGACTGCTTTCGAGGCGCACTTTGGCTTGGGGAATTGGAGTATCACATGATCCGTGTGACGCGCCTGTCCAAATGTCAGCCAACCAACTTTTTAGCAACTGGACTTCCCCACGGGGCCAATTACAAACTCGCTGCCATTCACACCAGCAGAAGTGCGCACGGTCGTTGTCATGACGACGGTGGTCACGACCACGGGGAAGAAGTGCAGTAGCACTAGGTGGTGCTGTTACAAAGCGTGGACAGCGTAGTTTGCACTCGAAGTGTTAAAAATTTATATTATCATTATGCTTCGAAGGCGCTGCAGTAGCACTACCAAGTATTACTATTCGGCGTAACTAGTCCTGAGGTTTCACTACAGCATGTTTTTGAAATATACCTCAAAGGTGGGACACTCCCTTTTAACGATAGCAATGATGTCTCCGAAGTCCTCTCTCACTCTTTTCCTAACAGGGACGTAGTTTCACAAATGAGTTGGAATGGGGGGGGGGGGGGAGTGACTCAGCGGCAAAAGATGGCCCAACTCAACCCCAAAAGATGCCAACAAACAGGTTTCTCCCCTGATCTGGCGCACGTTCTTCCTAAAGTTGGGGGGGGGGGGGGGCTGTAGCCCAAGTTGGGGCCGAAGCTCCCTCCCCAACTGGATAGGAAACCACACCACACCATGCCTCCCGCATTTCGGCGCATTCTGGGCACGCATTTTCTATCACCCCAGGTTGTAACTTGCGTCACTCTGATGCGTTTCTCGAGCTGATTTTGCGTCTGCTTGTCATGTGCGTGACATCATCCCCAGCCCTGAGTTCAGCTGCGGGGCACTGTCACCTGGAGAGCTGGCGGCGGATACCTTGGCTCACCTGGAAAATTGTCGGCGGATAATGATGCCGGCACGCCGGCAAGCGTGGGATGGCCGTGCGTCGCCTGTGTGCGAGCCGACGCACCAGACTGTGTGCCACGCTGGGCAGGTAGTCTATTGGGCCGGCGTTCCGGGACACATTTTTTTTTTAGTTGACAGGCGCCCTGTGCGGGAGCAATTGTAGCGACATTGCAGCTGCATTGTACTATAAACTTTTGGTGAAATACCTTCTCATTGAGAGCCGGAGCCGTCAGAAGTGAGGTTTTTCTTACCGTGTTTTTTCACCGTGGTCCGTCACCGTGCCTTCTCATCGGGCTTTATTACCGTGCTTTGTCGCCCTGATCTCCGTGCTTTGTCACAATTGTCACCTTGCTTATATGACCTTTGTGACCGTGCTTAATCACCTTTATCGCCCGCATCACAGTGCTTTATCATGCTACCGTGCTTTTCCACCGTGGTCACACAACACAGCGGAATGGCTGATGTGCAAGGATGTGAATGACGAAACAGTAGACGAAAATGACGCGAATGGTGAAATCGTTCCGTTCCACATGCTCTAGGAGACATCCGTGCAGGAACTGAAGCCTGGTGTGACATTCCTCCACTCTTTCAGGAACTTCGACAATATGGTGGCGTTTCGAAATTATCGACTTGTAAAGAGGCTTGACCACCACCTTCTGTGACGTTCCTATGCTCAACTTTGAGTACGGTTTGGATTTGAGCAGGGGCACCAAAACCCGGCCCATTCCGTCAAGGCAGTTCTGGGGGTCGCTGCCGCGTTGATCCCGTGAGGCGAGATCGCAGTGCGTTGATCCCCTGAGGCGAGATCGCAGTGCGCTGATCCCGTGAGCCGAGATCGTAGTGCGCTGATCCCGTGAGACGAGATCGCAGTGCTCTAGTCCCATGAGCTGCCGAGATCACACTGCAGCGCTGATCCCGTGAGCCTACATCGTAGTACGTGGATCCCGTGAGCCGAGATCGCAGTGCGCTGATCCCATGAGCCGTGATCGCAGTGCGCTGATCCCATGAGCCGACATCCTAGTGCGTTTATCCCGTGAGCCGAGATCGTAATGCGCTGATCCCGTGAGCCGAGATCGCAGTGCTCTGATCCCGTGAGCCGAGATCGCAGTGCGCTGATCCCGTGAGCCAAGATCATAGTGCGCTGATCCCGTGAGCCGAGATCGTAGTGCGCTGATCCCGTGAGCCGTGAGCGCAGTGCTCTGGTCCCGTGAGCCGTGATCAAAGTGCTCCGATCCCGTGAACCGTGATCGAAGTGCGGCGGTAATCCAGTGAGCCGAGATCGCGGCGCGGTGCCTTATGGTGCCATGGCAACATCCAGGCTTGTCAGTGTCACCGACTGCACCAAGCGTGGCTGATAATCCTGCATGGTGAACACCGTGTGAGAGCTAGTGGCTCAGGGTGATTCACGTTTCATATTTCCGCAAACACTTCCATTATTCAGCGCGCCGATAACCGCTCTTGCTTTATATCCTGGAGAACATCTACAGACCGCACCATATACCAACACGTGAGAAAACATCCTGCCTCATCTTGACGGAGCACGAGCGCCCTGACAGCCCCTCACAAGCCAATGTGCACCGCCCAAACCACCATACGCGTTGCCACCAAGACATCCACATTTCCGCAACGACTCGCATCATTCACAGCAGAACGCAGTCCTAGTGACCTAGTCACTGCGGACACGGTGACCGGTGCTAACCGACGCCGGGTAACTGCGGAGAAAATGCGCCCATTGCCATCTCGCTGCGTGCAAGCCCGATGAAGCAGAAAACAGCGGCAGTTTCGCTCGTACAGCACACCAGTCCGCACGGCGCCATCCTAACGGAGCACGACCGCACATCCTTGCGGAGCACGACCGCACATCCTTGCGGATGGATCCGCACTGGACCGGAAAATCTTCCAGGAACCTTTCAGCGCGGCGGAGGTGCGCCTGGAACACAACGCACCTGGCGCCGATGGAGCTTTCTTTGAAGCCTCGTGGGGATTCACAGCGTTGAAGGGGACGTTTCATCGTGGTTCTTAGTTTCAACATGGCGTCCTGTGGCTAGAATGAGCTGTAGGCATTGGACCAATGGGCTTAAAAAGGTTAGGGACCTAAAATACGCTACAAGAGTCCACGTATGAGTGCGTTATGTCACAAGAAATGACCTAAAATGCTGATGCACTTCCGAACGCTTTGAAGAAAGCTCCACATTTGCGCCTGGCAGTTCACGTCCACAGCAATGGCCGACGGCCAGCCGCCGGTCCCCCAAGCCCCACGACCGCACAGTTTTGGTGCTAAGAAAACACAGACTTCGTGTAAGCTGGGCTAGCGATGGCGCCGCCGCCGCCTCCAGTCGCGCCGAGGAGCCTAGATGGCCTTCAGCACGTGCCACATCTGGATCTGCTCCTTCGGGTTTTGGAGCATCTTCTCCCAGTGCTCTTGCATATGGCCGCGGGCGAACATGTGAGACCCGATGGTGACCCTGCCTAGAGTCACGTCTGGAAAGCGGCGCAGAGTCAAACAGAGTGGGGTGTGAGCTGGGCTGAACCTGCGCATGCGCATTAAACACATTTGAATTTACGAAGGCAAAGCACGACGGCAGGCTTAGGCGAAACAAGAAAAGACACGGAATACCGCTCACTATATGTGCCTGTTCGATGCTGGGTGACGGAGAGCAGCTAGGAGCATTTAAATAACATTCAGTTAACGAGTGTCTCAAATACATAACATAGCAACATCTGGGTGACATTTGAAAGAAATAGGAGAATAAATTCGTAACAGGTAACCATGTTGGTAACCGCATATACGGCCAAGGCGGGGTATGTCGTAACATATCTAAAGCGCTGTCGTATTGATATTTCCAGCCGTTACAAAAGTTCTCAAGTGATTTTCGACCTGCTCTCAAGACGAGGGTAAATTCAATTCTTGCGATCGATAAACAGCATCACCAATGGTTCTTAAAAGGATAAAACTTAAAGGGATAGGGTCAAGACTTAATGGGATAGGCGTTCTTCGCCTGTCCGCTGTGCTATGCGTACAGTTACAAGAGTGATGTGAATATATACGGCGTACGTATACGTTTAGTTAAAAAATGAAACCATGTCGATGTACGAAACATTTTTGTCCTGAGGTTTCCACACCGCCACCAAATGACTCGCCACAGGGAATTTTTGAACACCATCATATACAGAACTCCTTCAAAACGTCCGCTTCCAAAACTTTTTTCTCGCAGGTGAACCTTTTCGTCGGACGATTTTTAGGCAAGCCGCTCCACCTTGCAAAAAATAGCAGAGCTACAACTCTGCAGACCCTAGCCAGCCGTCCGGAAACGAACACCACTCGCCCGCGAACGCTTGCGGCGAAAATAAATTAGTCCAAAGCTGCATTCGTTCGCATGCAATCCAGCTCATGTCAACACACCACGCTGTTACCAAACAGCACGGCGAATGTAACGGAAACAATTTTCCCTACTTGCTCGGGCGAGGGCTATTTTACAAGCTGGCAAACATCCCAGGAACGCCGGCGCTGCAGCCGTTAATGAAAGGTGGGATTGCTTTGCGCCTGTCAATGGCAGCCAACCGTATCAGCATACAAAAAGTCGCCTGGCAGGCAGAACGAGGATGCTAGGCATTGGTACTGACAATGTCACGGTGATTGCAGCAGATGTGTGCTGAAAGGAGCTTCACGTCGCGTACCTTTTTACGGTCCAAGGGCGTATTCCACATTTGTTTGGGGTTTTGAACTGAAATGGTCGTCTCAAAGATCATCGGTGCAGATCGCAGCCCTGTACTTCTTAAGACCTAAACTCCTCCAGTTTCTGAACCACACACCCGCGAAGATATGCAGACCATCACAAGGTCAGCCAGCTATCCATGATGCCATGACAACGTCACTCAAATCCTGCCATTCCAATGACCATGCCGAGATCAAGGCCAGTTCAAAATGATTGTTAAGCCGTTCATATCTGGGGTTTCTGAGCAAGGTTTTCAGATATAACGGCCGTTAATTGGCTGCAGATCAATGCTGTGCAAGATGCGTACGTTGTTCAAAGAATTTACAGGGAGCATTAGGCATATGGATGAGACAGCACTTATAGTTTTATTTCTCGTGGAATAACCAAGAGAATAGAGATACAGTCATTGATCACAATGTTACAATGATCGCCGTAACGAAATCACTTCAGGTATCGCGCATCACTTCACCGTAACTTAAGCTACAAAATTAAATGTACACTGTGCGATAAGCATGGAAGAGGCAAAGCTCATGTCGAGAGTTCATGCGCCTTATTCTTTTGAGATATAATGCACACCTTTGTGAGGCTAAAATATAACACATTACACCCCTTTTGCCCACCATTTTTCAGCAAAATGCGCTCAGGCTGAAATCCAGGCAGGTACAAATCCTATGCCTTTTTAAGAGCTTAAAGTCATCTACATAGCACAGGGCCACCCAGGCGGGAAAATAAGGAAATCTATTCTTGTGAGAAGTCGGCGACCAAACCATAGCGTACAGGGCTCATCAGGGCTGATTGTGCGAACGCGATTAGTGCCTGGTGTGATGCGTGTTAGCTTAAAATCGTTTTCATGTATGAAAAATATCTGTCGCGTGATGCACGATGCCTGTTTAATTGAGATCGCTTGCTTGTGTAAGCGGTGTGTGATGCCTGTCTACCTGAAATCGTGTACTTGAAATCGCTTGCTTGTGTTACTAGCGCGTGATGCCTGTTTGTTTGACTACGTTGAAAGCTAGATCTACTCTGTATCGTAGTGATGGCTGTCAATTTGCTCCTTGTGTAACGTTCTGAATGTTAGTGATCTTTTAAAACCGTGGCACGCCGAAAAAACAACACTAAAAACCGAGTAGGGTCGGCAGGCAATTTTGAATTTACATTGTGCTGTCTTGAGCAGTTTTTTCCACTTGAAAGTGCTCCAATAGTCATAAGGGAGCTTCCTCTGTCATATAAGATGCTTGCATTCACCTCTTCAAATGCGGAGCATTTCCGCCAAGGGTATTTTCTCGCAACATTGTAGCCTTACCATGGTTCAATCTCCACTCGGGCAATACAAAAAGTGAACATTCCCAGCATGATGAAAAACTGATGAAAACGGGTCGACACGGGGCTCGACTCTTGACGACCTAGCTCCGCAGCGACCTGAGATTGGCATATCTGAAGGAAGGGAGCAGGCGTTATCTTACCGGCTTCAGAGTGGGCCGATGTGTGCAGATTATCACACACTGTCAGGCGGACCCATAGACGACCCATGGACTCCCCCTGAACGACCCATAGTTGTCCGTTGCCGATCCATGGGTACCTATGGCAGACTCATGGCTACCCATGGCTGACCCATGGTTACCCATGGCAGACCCTGTCCACCCATACCAGACCCATGGCTACCCGTGACCGACACATGACTACACATGGCCGAACCATAGCTACGCTCGATTTAGACAGTATGCTGTTGTTGCCAGATCTCAACAAAAGCAGCAGCGGAGGAGCGAAGACCCGCCTGGCGGACGAGAACGTGCCGCCGCGGCTCGTGAACGCCTCGCAAACACTCCCCGACGCACCGGCGCACCAGCGGCTGATCGGGAAATGGCCAGTGTCAGCTTACCAAAGCCAGTCTCGGATACAAAGAGCCCGTGGACCTGGCCGCCAAGAAAGAACAGCTCGTGGAAACTGCGCCGGCATTTAGACTTGTCCATTGTGTCCAAGATCTGCCCAAGACATCGCGTTTTTTGCCTTTTTGTGGTCTCGCTTCAACTTTAACACTCACTGTAAATTGCAAATGTAAGTAAGTTATTGTAAGTAATGGTATATGTAAGTACAAAAACACACCTTAGCTCACTGTAAATTGAAGAACTTTGTTGTCTTAAGTGCCTGACCAAGCCAGACCCGTAGCCGACACTTTTCAAGCGATGCCAATTGTAGGTTAGCGTACGAATTACACATCGATGAGCCTTCGTCTGTAACACCTACCATATATGGACTTCCCTATTGACCATGCTTATCGACAGGATCTGCCAAAGGCAAGTGACTTCATTAGCTTACATTTAGGGATTATCTCCATGACCTTAATGGAAAAGTTTGAAGGTGTGCTATCACTTCGAAAGGGCGGATCCAAGGAAGGTTAGGGCCCGAGTTGGACATAAAATGACATAGCTGGGATTGCTTTCGTTGTTTCAAGTTTCTGACAAATACAACGTTCTCATGCAAGAAGATCCATTAAAAATTATCCGAAAGTGTTTCCCGAACCCTGGCATGATCCTTGTGACCAGCATCATCTATAGTCCCTACATGCCAAGCCATTCCCTGCCGCATTTGGCACGGGAACGACGCCTTTCAAACTTCACCTTTCAACTCGACACGCACGTTCAGTGTGCGCGTCGAGCTGTGGCCTCAAAGCTGCGTTCAGCCCTTTCGTGAAACCAACTTCAGTCTGAGAGGATCACTCGGCACGGGTTGTCCGAGCGCGTGACTGAGCCCCTAGACTCGCGTGTGGCTCCACCACAACGACCCAACGATGAAAACCGGCGTCACTCACATCCTACCGACCTATCTCACCCGCCGCCCATTTCGCGGGCCCTGAACACACCCCTGCTCAGCGCAACCGCCTCGGGGCACGTTCATTCCAGCCCAGGTGCGTTCGGGAGCCTGCGCTTCGGTATCGGCGATAGCGACGCGTGCCCGCCGGCGGTATCGCCACAGACGCCGTCGCCGTAGCTGGAGGCGTCACGCAGATTGCGCACGTTCCTGCACATAGAATACTCGGGTGTCTACTGCTGCGGCGGGTGGGATTGCCGCAGGCGAATTGCCACTGCTGCCAATGGCGGTCGGATGGAAAGCCGGGCCGGAGAAGTCCGTGCCCGAAGGAATGCCATTTTCTGGCAGGGTTGTCATCAGTGGAGAGACTGATGCCTTGGGAAATCATGCAGCGAATTGGTTTTTGATGGAAGAAGAGTTCCCATTGGGTTTGTCTTCGCTCCGTTGGGTCAAAGTGTAACACGGAAATAACGATGAAATCGACAGAGAATTTAAGCCGACGGTAGCACAGCTCACAGCGTGGCTTTTTGGCGCTACACGACAAAGACATAGATGCTACTGTGGCATAGCGACGCCATTTCACGATGACAGCTAGGCAGTTGGCTGCACAGGTCCGGGCAGAAATGTGAATGTCAGACTGCGAACGCTGCCTATCGTTCACGAGTCCTCCAATCCTCATAAGCTCCTCGTGTGCGCGCGAATACAATCTCCTACCTGCGACCCCCACTTGTTCTTCCGCATGCTCTGCTGGACCACGCCGCGGTCCGCCGACTCCCAGGACGCGCGTATCTGTGACATCTGACTCGAGCCCGCTTCGCGTTCGTTATTGCCTCTCCGACGAGACCACCCCACCGGGCCGTCCGGCACTCGAGGCCGATGCACTCGGCAACGACGTGGACCGTCGCCATCATTCGCTTCTCGAGCTTCTCAGCAGTCGTTTGGGGCGCTTGCACCACTTGAGCGCAAGCACCCGGCGGCCCTTGGCAAGGCAATTTTGCCTCATGCTCTTACCAGCAACGCAGTTATTAATCTGACGTGGCGCCTTCATCATACTGGTCGTCTGAAGCGCGCCTACGTCTGGATGAAACCTTATTGGGATGTAACCCCGCGGCACAAGAGTGGTGGGAGTGTCAACCATGATGAAAATAGACCGTATTAAACGGGCTGACAGTCACCCTGCACGGGTTATTGTTTCCTGAGCGCTGCTGAACAGGAGAACTCTAATGAGTGATACCCCCGTAGGACCCGACGTGTAGTTATTTTCAGGTCGTGCTGAAGTAACCATCATTGGCTATTGTACGAGACATTGACTACGGAAGACATACAAATCACCACAAAATGTTGTGAGAATACTTAGGTTGTACACGACAAAGAAGTCCAGTTTGACTTTTTCATGAACATATGAGCAGTAGTATTTTGGCATCTGTTTGGAATAGCTATCTCCTGACGAAACTAAGGTCAGTTTTTTGGAACATATAAACTCAAAACAACTGTTATCTCGACGGTGGTCGTTGAGTTGTTCTCGCTGTTAGGCCAAGCACATGAGACATTTGGAAGCTGTCAGGTATGTGCTGAGCTCGATACAGGTTAGCCGTCAGAACAGGTCATCCATTTGTCGTTGAACTTCATCGATAATCATCGTCAGGCGATTCATCGACGTCCGCGACCCCCACAGCTACCCCATGTCACGCCCTGCTGGACACCGAGCACCAGTGCAAGTCTCATCCCGGGTAAATGGAGCAAACACAGATTTGTCTAAAGACCATCACCCGAGTCATCCGCTTCGTGTTAACATTTGGCGTTGTCATCCCGCGCAGACGACCCTCGCCATGTTGCAGACCAAGCGAACAGCTTTGAGGCAGTCCAAATTTCCCCTCTTCGTAATGAGCTGCGCGAAGACCGTAACACGGATGGCCGCGGAAGTTTCGCACGATGGCCGCGAAAGTTTTGCTCGATGGCCGCGGACGTTTTGAACGTTGGCCGCGGAAGTTTTGCACGAGGGTCGCGAAAGTTTTGCACGATGGCGGCGAAAGTTTTGCACGATGGCCGCGAAAGGTTTGCACGATGGCTGCGGACGTTTTGCACGATGGCCGCGAAAGTTTTGCACGACGGCTGCGGACGTTTTGCACGATGGCCGCAAAAGTTTTGCACGATGGCCGCGGACGTTTTGCACGATGGCCGCGGAAGTTTTTCAAGATGGACGCGAAAGTTTTGCACGATGGCCGCGGACGTTTTGTACGATGGCCGCGAAAGGTTTGCACGACGGCTGCGGACGTTTTGCACGATGGCCACGAAAGTTTTGCACGATGGCTGCGGACGTTTTGCACGATGGCCGCGAAAGCTTTGCACGATGGCCGCGGACGTTTTGCACGACGGCCGCGGAAGTTTTTCAAGATGGACGCGAAAGTTTTGCACCATGGCCGCGGACGCTTTGCACAATGGCTGCGAAAGTTTTGCACGATGGCCGCGAAAGGTTTGCACGATGGCTGCGGACGTTTTGCACGATGGCCGCGAAAGTTTTGCACGATGGCTGCGGACGTTTTGCACGATGGCCGCGAAAGTTTTGCACGATGGCCGCGGACGTTTTGCACGGTGGCCGCGGAAGTTTTTCAAGATGGACGCGAAAGTTTTGCACGATGACCGCGTACGTTTTGCACGATGGCTGCGAAAGTTTTGCACGATGGCCGCGGAAGTTTTGTTTGATCGTCGTGCAAGTTTTGCACGACGATCTCACGATAACGATTCGGAGAAACTCACCCTTCCTACCGGGCGACATCTTCTGCTTGATCTGGACCCTGATGTGGACGGCGCTAAGGTTGTCGGCGGGCAAGGACATGTTGAAGCTCTCCGCGTACTTAGGGCTGAAAAGGACGACGCAGTTGCCGTTACTCATCCGGGGACTGGGCACATGCCAGCACGAATGCCAGACGAAGGATTCTGTCAGTTCGACATGGCTGCGCGCAACACGGAACCACAGGCAGCCGAACGTCTAGTGTGCAGAGCTAACGCAAGACGCCAGCTAAAGCCTGGCGAGCAATACCTACAAGCCAGACAAGTGTCCGTTATCTCGCAAGTTTTACTGAAAAAGGTCAGCTACGACTTTACCGTTAAACACCGCTCCGTGAACTTCCATCGTAGTCTCCTCAACGTACCTCACAAACTTCGGACACATCGTCACCAAGACAGCGCCACTCATCTTGGTTGAGAGCGCCTGAAATCTTAATTCGTACTTCGGCAAGGGTGTTAGAGTTCAGAGTACATCCGCAACGCCGGATCGTCGTTGGATAGACCCACGTGATTCAACAGTCCAGAGCGCGATACCGACTGGAACCACTGCGGTGCATTTCATACTCACCTGCAACACTCGCGCACCGTCTCCGTACGCTTCGACTTGAGCCCACGAGTGTGATGGTACATGGTCACCTTGGCGTAGGTCGACGGCAGCTCTTCGTCGTTGGCACTCTGGCGACCAGACGGAAATGACGTCAGCGTGACGTCACAGACGCGAGTCGTCTTGCCGCCGTTAGAGTGTTTACCGAGGCATGTAAGTATCTCGGCGACCAGCGTCACGGGCTTCCAGTCGTGGGTGTCGAGGGCTGGTAAGGCTATGGTACGGTGCTCAATGCGTCTTGTTGCAAGGGCGAATGGTGTTAGGTTGACTGCAGGTTGAACTGTTAAATGATCATCGCAGGAAGGCAGCTCAGGAATTGGCGGCGCCCAGCACCGACGAACAGCACAGGTACGTGCATCACAATGGCAGCTGCACGTGTACACAATGCCAGCTGTACGTGAACCAATCATGGTTCGTGGCAACGCCAATCCAGCGGTAGTCTGCGGTATCCACATCGCAACGCTCAGCTCCGACCCTCTTCGCCTGCCCCCACCTCCACTCCGCCTCCCGCTGCTCCACCGCTCTCCTTTCCACCCACACCCACGTCCTCACGCTTCCTCCATATACACACTCCTCCACACTCCCTTCCCCTATACATCCTCCTCCATAAACCCCGCAACTATACGCCTTCATCCACATTCCCTCCCTTTCCCATTCCCTCACCCATATTCCCCCTGCCATACACACTCTACCCCACATATTCCCTCACTCGTACTCCCCCTCCCACGCCCACTCTATCATTAACGAGGTTAAGCGCCGCATTCCTCTTCTGCTGCGAGCCACAACGGAAAATTACGCCGGTACCTAGCGTCGAACACGCGGCCTTACGCATACGACAGCAAACAAGTGCGGCAGCCTCACCTCGAGCTCCACGGCCTCCAAGATGGCCACGTTGAGCCTCTCCAGGCCGGCGTTGTACGTTAGGCCCACCAGGACGCCGCCCACGGTGCCGCCCGCGGCCGGCACCTTCACCACCTTGGCGCAGCTGCCGCCACCGCTACCGCTGTCGGCATCCACCTCCACCCTGCTGAAAGGCGGGAGGCGTACGCCGCCGTCAGCTGCTGGCGCTGGGTGAGCTACGCGATTGTGCACTGGCACGTGGAGGCGGCTGTGACATGGCACTGCGAGCGCCTCCAGTGCGGTCTCTCTCTCTCTCTCTCTCTCTCTCTCTCTCTCTCTCTCTCTCTCTCTCTCTCTCTCTCTCTCTCTCTCTCTCTCTCTCTCTCTCTCTCTCTCTCTCGCTCTCGCTCTCGCTCTCGCTCTCGCTCTCGCTCTCGCTCTCGCTCTCGCTCTCTCTCGCTCTCGCTCTCTCTTGCTCTCGCTCCCCAAACGCGCTGTAACACGCGCCAAATACCCACATCGCTGCGGATAAGGGGCAACACACAGGTAATCCCCAAAATCATGGCAAGCGAGCAGTTGGCCCTTATTGCCCTACCGCAAGCCCACCTTCTGTCACCTTAGCCAAAACTGGCACCGAATTGCATTTCGGCTGAAGGAGTTTTTACCTTTCAGCTATTTTTTTACGCCAGCTGACTGAGAGTCACACATGTCTATCAGTTCTCCCTGACCCGGACCAGTGATGCTGGATCACGAACGGCATGTGCGTCACCGTGGTATATATATAGCAACAGTCTCATTAGCTGTTGTCTGATGCGTTCACAATCTCGGCGTTATTGACGGCGCACGGGTAATGTTCATCATCGGTGCTCTCCAGGCTATTCCGTTTTTGGTTCTGTTAGCAACTGAAGCTGTTTGTGTGGATCTACCACAAGTGTTGTTCACAACCGGAGTTGTGAAAATAGCACCAGTTCGTTATCGCAGAGAGGTACCCGACGACGTGACGTCAAACGCGCATAAAAGAGCAAAAGCAACGACTGACACTACCGTAGCTCATAGAAATCATGCCCTCAAACCCAGTCGTAGCGCTCGGCAGGCATCAAGGATGTGCTCTCCAGGCAGACGGCGGCATGTAATTAACATCGCCCCTAAGCCCCACCACGATGCAATGCCACGCTGCTTTTAAAATCCGTCGCGAGATCCAAATCGCCACAGGGTTATGGTCATCTACTGAAGCGGGGCTGTTTTCACCTGATGTCGCGGACGACGTTGGTGAGGGTGTGGCCCGAACGCAGGCTGTGCATGACACTCCCCAGTGGCACGTGCTTCCGGTCGCGGCGGCTGTCGTACACGGAGATGCGGATACTGTGCTGCGCCAGCCTCCGCTGCGGGATCTGCGGATGTGGATCGGATCAGGTCATCATATCACATAAGGTCAGAACATACCGTCGGAGTTTTCGTAAGTTGTTCATTGCATTTGCGAGGAACATTATTCACATAGATAAGGCAGTAGTAATAGCCTTATTCCTCGGAGAAAAACCAGGAGAATGTAGTATGGAGAAGACTCGTATATCTTCATTCTCCTGCTTTTCCGAGGAATAAGGCTATTTCTACTGTTTTATCCATCGGAATTTTCCCACGTTGTCTTTGCGGTCTGTTTCTGACGTTCGGCGAGCGGCGGGCTGTTTTTGAGGTCGGTTTCTGACGTTTGCAACGTCGAATTTTCTGCGTAGATTATAACCCCGCACAGAAAGTGCACCGTCCAGTTGCTTTGAAAACGCTTGGCCGATAGGTACCCAGATGCTAACCTTGTTTAGGCGGAGCCCGGAATGTGATTTATATATTTTGAGGGGCGCATTGATCAGAAAAGTTCGGAAAGTGGATGGTGGGCTTGCGTTTCCTCGGCAGATACCAACTGCTTTGTACGCCGGGAGAGCGGATTGACCCATGGATTTCCAGCGTGCTCTTCGCGGTTGGTGACCAGCATTCATATGGTTCGGGTAACGTTGCGTTGGATTTGTCATTTGCAGCCGTATATTAAATACCGCATACGCTTGTCCTTAGATCACGAGAAGACCTCGTATATGCGATCAGTCTTGACCCTTGTACGCGTTATTGCCAAAATACCTTCCGTTCATTCACCGTTACATCTATGACAGAAATCCGCCCGTTTGCCCGGTTTGTTCAGGAATAAGCATGCCAACAACGCAGTGACATCCAAATGGTGTCTTCGCACCACACAAACCTTACGCTAGTGCGTCTCTTCCATTCGGTTAGTCACTCTCATTTTGTTAATCTCGAAAATGTCTCTCCTGAAGCTACAAAGAATGACAAACCTTCAAGTTCCGTGCACTTGATTGCCTCACTTTTATAATTTCGTGACACCGTTGAAGAGTTCTCGGTGACTCAAAATCTTCTTGAAACCATACTCAATTTCACGGAACCAGCGGTATCTCTGTTCTCATGAAACATTCATCTTGGTCACAAGAGAAAAGCCACGCCAGCGAATTAGCCGTGTGCCAACACCAGTCAACTAGCACCCGTGCTTTGTGTCCTTGTCGTGCATTTCCTACTGTACGCCTTCGATTTGTGTATGCATGATTAAATCATAAGCACCTGCGATGCATGTCCTGAAAAGCCGCTTTTTCGGAGGACATGCGAAGACATGGTGCTGGACACCCCGCAGCACGCCAGTCTGGACCCACGTGCTCATGCGGAGCTCAGCAGGGCGCCACCCACCCCGCAGGACAGATCCATACGCTTCTCAGGACCAACCACGCCTGTCAGACCTGTCGTGTGACGCCAGATCAACGCCAGATTTCCCCATATGAAGACTAATTGGGTCGCGTCGATCCCGACGACGTGCGACGGGCCGTGTCAAATCGGAAACCAACAGCAGCCGGCTCGCGGAAGGAGGGCCTGGACGTTCGCCGCGTCCTCCGCGTCTCCTACGCCGTTTTTCGGTTTCGTCGTAACTCCGGCGCCACCCCACCACGCCCGGCATACCGCTAAATCGAATAATCGATGCAGTATTCCCAGGCTGAGCATCGAGCGCAGCCCGGATAATTACGTTCCTGTGGCATCCCGTACCGTCAGGCAGTGCTCTTCCAATAGGTCAACGCACACCACCGCTGGCTAGCGCATGGAATGGTGCCCCCCACACTTTTGTAACGTCACCCACGAATGCGCAGCCGAGATGATCGCTTAAAGCCTACATTCATTTTTTGGGGCCACCGCCGTGCTATGGTTGATTTCAGCGTATGATTTCAGCATGCACTGCATGCAGAGACGTGGGTCAAACACCACGGTTCACCATGACAACGCGATTGTCGCCTTCCCGAACGCTGCAATCTCAACTCGGGACTCTACCAAGAGTCCGAGCCACCAGGCCTGAAGAAGTGCGGCATGTCACGCCACGCCCCTGTGCTTGACCGACCCCTGACGCTGGCCACTGTTGTCCGTGCTGCCATGTGGCGTCTAGCATCTCCTGACGGCCATGTATTCTACTGCACGGAATATCCTGCGCCGTGACGTCACCACCAAAATTTCCCCGAGTGATGTCATTCCGCCCGAGAGCCATCAGCTGCCCCGCTGTCTTGATCCTGCCCCGGAATCATTACATGCCCCACTGTCGTTTCCTCTCTTCTTCTCACCACGGCTTCCGTTCTCATCACTCGGTGGGAGTCGCGCAGATGAGTCTTACATCCTTACATCCATCCTACATCCTTAGCATCCTACACCCTTAGCGGTGACGATAGCGGAAACATTTCTCGCTCGTGCCTTGTAGGTCTAAAACAGTTTCTTCTAGCCTGCATGCAGAGTTTTGACGGCACACATCCCGATGTCGGCCTGACTAAATTGCAGGTCTAGGCCAGTGAAGTTACCGAGATTGCGACCTAGCTACTTGGCGACAAGCCAAGCGGCATACGGGACATGTTACCCGCAACCGCTCGGAAACAACACCATCGCAGTCTTCAGGGCTGAGCCCTCCGATCCCTGCTGATATCGCTGTCAGTTGCAAGCGAAGTGACGTACTTCAACCACAATCACAACGCGCCGGCCGTTCAAGTGCAAGGAGTCGAGGTCACCGATAGGTGTCTCTGGCAACCGGCAACGGACGGCATCAACGCACCGGCCAGGACGTATTGTTCCACGCCACACGCTCAAGAACTGACGCTGGGAAAGCGTCAAAGCGCCTGACATGCACTGTGCATTTGACGGGCTCAGAGCGCTAGGGCAGCAGGGCTTCTAGGTAAAGCAATTGGTAACACAATTGTTGAAGATAAAGCTGTTGGCTCGGAACGCGGAACAGGCTGTGCTTGTCTATCGTGCTTGCATCGTACTTGTTTCCTGGTTGGAACGTGATTGTTTATCCTGAGCTTAAGTTTGCATCAAGTAGGCATAACTTAAAGCTGTCACTTATTGAGATTTGGAATACTCGCACCCACCCGCACCCGAGTTTGAAAAACCCGTACCCGCCCCGCAGGAATAGTGGCCCCCAAAAGCTTACATGGGCCCGTCAGCGTTACTTTTCATTCCAGGTACACATTCCGAACCTTCAAAATATCACTGGTCCCAAAACAAGGAGCTGCGAGACATCTACGAGCCTCTTAATCTTTTTTGTTTTGTTTCTGCCATGGCATCAAGAGGCCTTGTTTTAATTCCAAGCACACACACTTAGCCTTATTATGACGTCAGGCTCACCACAAGAATCGCCGAGCTGCAAACATTATTCCTTCACCTGTTGTTTATTAATTAGCAATGAAGAAAACTGCTGAGCTACATTCATTTGAAGATCTTGACTGTTTTGAAGAGGCTATTGGAGACGCAACACATGGTCCAATCAGAGAAGAACCAATCCCCTTGGTCCCAGGTAATAAAGTTTCTTTGTCAGAGACAAAATCATGATGATCCTTCAAAAGGCCCTTCAAATGGAGCCGAAAATTTATTGAAAGTAAACATTTCAGAGGACTCCAACTAATATCAGAATGCAAATAAATCCAGACTGAACTTACGCTTCCCTGAGATCATATGATGACCTTTCAGTCACATGTGTGCATCAAAAAATTGTCCTCCAAAACCCTAGTGTCGTAGGCATTTGAAATGGCCAAGTTGTCAACTTCACGGGAACACATTGGCATATACACGGCAAAATGGATAGCCCCACACAAAAAACGCAGTTTATATCATGGAAGCAATATGAAGAACAGCATTGCCCACGGCTAAAAGGCACCATATGAACAGAATTGCCAACTCCATAGAGTGAAGTGTATACCCGAATGATGACTGATTAGGCTTACTTACGTCAAGTAATGAGGCTTAGAGCTTAACTATAATACTGCGCTTTTGATGCTGCATTTATGCTCCAAATGCCTTCAATACTGGTGAACACAGAATGTTGACCACCATCGGCATCGTTATGCCACATGGCAAGTAGCAGAAGGTAAGCGTAGCATTTGGCGAAAGACGAATGCGCTATCAATAACCTCGTGTTACGCCCCTGGACAGCTGATGATCCATTCAAGCGTGACTAGCAAGTACGAGGTCGTCAATACCCTTCGTAACGGCAATCTTGTGCATCCGAGCTCCCTGGCCAGCTGACGACATTGACCAGCATTTGCTGGTCCAAGTAGTTCTGCACCGTGTGCCGATTTCGCCTTCGATGCGATTATTTTGAAACTTTCCTGTGATCACCGGGATGGTTTGGTAATCGTTGTTTTCCTGCATTTTTCTTTTTGGTTAAATACCAAATCAGTGAATGCATATTGCAGAGAGCATTGCTACATGAAGTTACATGAATTGTGGATAAGGTCTAAATTGCAGGTAGCGGGATCGGTTTGCTGTTATGGACTCCATAGACATGTTTTAGATTTCAAATACACGGCCAATCTTTTCACTTACTCCAGGCATTGGAGAATGTTTGCCGTTTGAACATGTCCCGTGGAATTGCATCTACAGATGTGTTTGCAAACCACTGAGTTTTTGCATGCGACCTGTCTTGTCTGTGACCTGTAATTTATTCAGGAAATTGTTTTAGATCCATGAGCGTAGTTTTGCAAATATGCTTGGGGTAGGTGAGCAGGGATAAATGGCTTAGCTTCTCCTGTGGTTGGGGCTTGGAGCTGGAGACCATTATTGCGTAGAAAACTTCGGCCAAAGCAGAGTCTATCACTAAAGCGGGGGTATTTCAGAGTGGTTCTTGTTCTTGTTTTGAAATTTCATCTTCCCAGGATGTGTCGTAAAATAATTGTGCCTTACTTTACGTTGTACAGCTGTTACGTTTCAGTAGTCTCCCATTGAAGTGCCGGTATGCCATGGATTATTTGTTTTGAAATGGCATGCATTGCACAAGTGAAAACTTCATAACAATTATATACATTAGTTTTCTTTTTTGTCCTTATTGCGCCGACAACTTATTTCTTTTTACGTCAGCATTTGTCACCAACATTTGTCAGTGAATAATATCTACATTTGTGGCAAGCAAACACAAGTGGGAGAACTTACGGCGTAGAACACCCGCCAATACCCGCAATGTAGCTAGCAATACCCCCTTGAAGCCTTGCTTTTTAAGCCCGTACGTTGCAGACCTGTGATCTCAAAAGTGGCAGAACTATTACGACAGTCGCCTGCACGCATTTATGTTCACATTGGACCCAACGGTCCGGGACGAGACATCTTCAAAGCGATGGCGGAAAACACCACAATCGTGCGTGAAGAGCGTGGAGCATAAGATTTTGCTGCGGGAGCAAACATGTCCGACGGCATCGGACTTTTATGTCCCGCCGCGAAGCACCGGTTTCCACATCACCGTTCGCCTGAGTAAGCGCGGCACCCAGCCTCACCATGAAGGGAAACTCTTCGTCAAAGCGCGGGTTGCAGGTATTCTTCTTCTGCTGAGACTGAAGGTAGCGACGCTTGTCCGGCAGCAGGTGCACCCTAAAAAAAAAACACGTGGATGGTTGGTGTGGTGTACCTAAAGGCGCCTCCGCAGGGTCACGTGGCATGCCGGCAGCCGGGTCGCGTGGCACGCCGCGGGCGGTCGGTCGGCTGAAGGTCGGCCCAAGGTCGGCTGACTTTGAGCTGACCTAGCGGCCGTCAATGCAGGCTTGAACTGAACAGCTGAGTGTGAGAGTCGGCTCTAACACTTGCTATAGACAGTGGGCAACCAAGTAATGCGTTGTTTTATGGCCAGGATTTTGTGAATGCTGCAAGTGCATTCAGAAACGAAACGCGGCAACGCTACATGTGCGATGAGTGGAATGGAATGGAAATAAATTCCTAACGCATCGAAACACCAGGAAATATTATCGCACAACAAAAATACCTCAAGAAACGCATCGCATTGAGGCGTTAACCATTCACAGTTTCCGAGTGTATCTAAATTTGTCTCACCTGCGGCAAGAGTCTAACAAGCACGTAGACAAGCGCACCGGAGTGGGGTCGGTGGGAGAAAAGTACAGCACGCGAGTTTGGGCGGTTGGTAGAACGACGGACTCTATGTGCTTCGAAATTGATCCCTAGCTGCTGTTGTTTCTGCCTGGGTACCAGCATGATCATCACAGTCGTTGCAATCCAGCAATTTTATCCCAAAATAATATATTTTGCCATAAAATACTCTCTAAAATACTCACATAAAAAGTGGCAAAGAAGGGTGTATACATTTTAACAGGGGCCACTTACCACGACGCCAATCTTTGGCAGTTCGAGCACCACGGGTGCTCTCCAATAGCTTAACAAATTCTACCATCTATGGCACCGGCTAGATGACCTTGGGCTGACCTGACGACAGGGTCACAGCTGTCCGGTTCGTCGCGTGACCTCTGGGGCAGCTTTTTAGCCTTGATGACCGTGACTGTCAACTTCTCCTCTGACGCGTCATAGACTAGGGAGAACCAGAGGCGCCCTGAGGTGACAGATGACAAGATGATAGTGGCGGATAATGACATGTCGGCGAATACCAGGTACAACATCTCATTTTGCAGCTGCCACGGAAACATGCAAATTTGTAACGTGAGCCTAAATGTCGTCCCAGTTTAGATTATCCATATTTCTACTATATATACATATACATATATATATATATATATATATATATATATATATATATATATAACTATTCATTCATGTACGCCCTCGGCGCCCAAATGTAGTCTCATCCTTAGCCTATATGTGGCCTGTGCGCCTGACACGAATGGACCAAAAATTATCCCGCCAATCATTAGCTTCGGCGACGTCCATGACCGCTACAGTGTCCAACTGCCACAGCACCACCATCGTAACGTGTTCGTCACCGGCGCGACAATGCAAGTCGTTTGCGGGCACGGCGAATCGGCAAAAGCGGCGCCTGAATGTGATTGGTCGACAGCTCACCTAGCGTCGCCTTCACCTCGACGTCATCGTTGTCCGGGGACGGTAGTCGGTAGATGTCTGGGTTCAATCGACCCAGGCCCTTGCGCTCTGGAACGGACAGCCAATCAGCGCGTGAACTCATGCAAGCACAGCCCGGTACCCGGCAAGGTGTTGGCGCGACGCTGAGGTCAGGTCTTCAGCGCCGCAAACCTAGCGGTCTGAGGATAGAAGATGAGCAGCACTGGAATGAAGTCATTCTGGCATGACGCCAAAATGAGGAGAAGTACATCGAAGAAGTTTTTAGTACCAACGTTGCTTTACCAGGTGAGATATAATGACTGACTGGGCGGAAAATCGCAGGTCAACTTAGCGTCATCTGTGTAGCTTCGTGCAGATGCTACCTCGCGGCACTAAAGCCAAGCAGGTAAATTCGTCGGACTAGTCTTTTTCAGTCCAAAGATGCTACCTCATTGCTGCCAATCTGGGACTGCTGCCTCAGCTGGTAAGGTCATGTTTAGATCAAAGTCAAACACTCTGCCTCCCCACAAAGTGACCACGCTCCGGCCTTGTCTGTGGATGGCTTATGTGCGTAAAATAAGATGGTTTGACACCGTTGAGGGTATGAGTGGTTAAGGGGGGACGGGGACCACGTGCACGCCCCCCCCCCCCCAGTTTCGGCCTCCGGATTTTGGGATGGCATCAGGAGCTGCTATGTTGGTAACCACGCTTCTTTAATTGCAAACGTAGCTTGGGGCTATCAGCCAGCAAGACTGACTTGGATCAGATGTTGCATGGTGCATCATGGTGCAAAACTTCGTCACAGTCATTGTGGTACGAGATGGGCACCATTGCAGCTACAAAACGTGACACGGTAAGCGAGCCTCGACGGGAAGGAGCTGGCAAGTGAACACAGGACATTGCTCTGCAATATTGCTCAGTAATGGGAGACGCAGTGTATGTGCGAGCCTCAGCAGCAGACAGTCTTGAGTCGTACATGGCTGCAATAGGATACATGCTGCTTAACATTCATCGCGAAGCCGCTGTTGAACTTAAGGTGTTTACCGTGCCCACTTTTAAGTGGAACCGGCTTGTTTAGACAACACAGTTTCTCTGTTTAGTAGATATGCTCTTCAATGCGTCATGGTTTGATTATGTCATCGTACCTTGGGCCACATTGATTGCAGTTCAATGGACGGCCGTTATGTCTGCAAATCGTGCTCACAAACGACAGATGTCAACTACTCGACGTTCATATTTTTCTTGCCTGGACCACCGCATGACCAAAAGAATGACAGGATTTGAATAATGCTATGACGTTATGGATGTCTGGGTGACCTTGAAATAGTCCTCCGAAACAGCTTGCACATTTTCGCGGGCGTCAGCTCAGAACTTTGAAGGGTTTGGGTCTTCAGAAGTGCAGTGTTGTGAACTGCACCGAATGATCTTTAAGATGGCAAGTTCAGTTCAAAACCCTTTGCAAGTATGGAACACTCCATTTAAGCTTCGTCTTTGGCCCCATTCTTTGTAAGCTGTTTCCAAATTTTCACGTTCAGCTGCGTACCATGATATCAGTCCACTTATATGAAACTAAAGCAATAGGTGTTTCGTCACGAGCTGGTAGTGCGCGTGAAAACAACTATGCGTCCAATCTAGAAAGAGTTTCAGGGCCCCCTCTTAAAAAAGCACAGGCATTGAGCATTCATTCTCGCGCCTCCGTCCTGTTGTTTGCTTTTTTAAACCTCCGTCCTAGCGCCATTTTGCCCTACAGTGTTTATGCAGGCTGGTAAGTCATGCTGTCCGGCGGCTGCGTGGCCGCCAGGTATGGGAATGCGCAAGTCGCAATATATATATATATATATATATATATATATATACGTGTGTGTGTGTGTGTGTGTGTGTGTGTGTGTGTGTGTGTGTGTGCGTGTATATGTATATGTACATATATACACATATACCTATATACATGTATATGTGTGTGTGCATATATGTATGCATATATATATATATATATATATATATATATATATATATATATAAAGCATAATCGCAAGAGCCAGACGGTCGCAGTCAGAAGCTTAATAATTCGTCAGGATGTCTTTTATTTTGCTGCACTTCCAGGGCGAGTAGTTCCAATTGCTGGCGGAGATAAGCTTGGAGAATTCTTGCATGGTTGTTCCTCTGAACGTACCAAAACGCAGTGTTGCGTGAGGAGGCGGAATTGACGAGATTTGCTGACGTTTTTGTGTTCTCGATGTTGGCAATATGAAACGAACATAAAGTTAATATTCCACGGTGCGGTGGTGCATCAGGTTTATTTGATATCACGCGGTTACTCCATTGCGTAGAACGTCGTGTGGGACAAGATGTGAACTTTTCAGAAGCAATAATTTAACTTTCCTTGTCGTTTTCTGGTAACCTTGCACTGGCATGTTGGCAATGTTAAAGCAATAGGTGTGTTTCTGGCTCGATGTAAACGAATATGGTTTACATTAAAAAAGAATGACACATTGCCCCTGACGAAAAAAAGGTGAGTGGTGAATTAGTGAGCTAAATGGAAGATCACTTAAAGTTACGTCGACGATTTCAAAGGAACAGCGAATTCCGGACGTGCCGATCGAAAAATTGCAAGATGATCACATCCCTGGCTTTGCTTCGGGAAAAATGACGTCACTGCGGTCATCATATTGCGGTAGTGACTAACAGCCCATTCAGCATTCACATAACACACACCACACGTGACGGCAAGCCAATTATAAAGCGTGTTCAAAGGCAGCACCATGAGAGCATGTTTAGAAAATGGTTGAGGAATTAGACAACTGGACTGAAGCCGGCGTTAGTTTCGAGGTCAGCGTTCCAAGTCTGGCCCAAAATACTACGTTGTAAGTATTCACTTACTCACCAATTAATAATTACTCGCCAGCAACAGGCCATGAACGCAATTCAAGACGAGAAATTGAATGATTCCATCTGACATGCAGCATTCAGCGAGTTAAAGATTCCCTTAGCTAGTGTCCCACCTCATCGGCGCCAAGTTAAATATATTTTCAAATGCACGCTGGCCTTGGAAATTATCTTTAGCCGCATGGGAACGACGCACACTATTCAGCAGCGAGGTCGGCTTGGTCGGGTAAGTGGCTTCCACAGATCATCCCAGTTTGGCCCAAACTCTGTCATCATGACGATTGCAATGGCGCGACCGGCCTGGCCAGGCCGGGACGATGAAATTACGCAGCTGCGGAAAGGTGACGTTATTTCCAAATGTTGAGGCCCGCCCGGCCGGTGCATGCGTACTAGAGGACATGCCCCAGCCAAATGTGCCAGGAGAACGTGAGCCCGAGCGCGTCAAAATAAATGCGAGCGTCAACGATTGAGAACCTTCCGCCATGGTCTGTGCGCCCACGCTCATGCAGTCCACGTTTTTCCATGCCCAAATGCAGAGTGTTTGATGCAACACGATGAGGGTCTTACATAAGCATCACCTAATAAGTGCGCCTTGCGTGACTCCCAGATCCAAGCATATGGGCACGCTGCATGAGGTCGGTGATTGAGATCCTAACATCAGGACAAAACTAAGAATGCCTGTTTCTCTTCTCATTCATCAGTCAGCGCCAGACATGCGGCACGACATGCATGCCCGTTGCGCATACATCATGCAGCAGTGGATATTGGATAACCTCAGCGGATATCTGGATCTCCTCAGCACGTGGCATCTGCGGTGCGTATTCTAACGTGTTCCTGCGACGGATCGAAGCTTGTGTTCAAACCGATCGTTAAAGCCAATTTATTTGACCAGCTTGAAATACCATTCACGATGAGCTGTTAGCACGAGAACGAGCATCACAGCATTCACCAATACGTAGGTCTGCTTCCTCGCCTCTCACCGATATACCAGCACTGGCAAGAGGGGCGGACGGCGCGCGAAATCGGACCCTGTCTTCTGGTTTTGCGCAGAGGTGCAGCTTGTCCACTACGCTTACGGCGACATACTTCATAAAAGCAGGAGAGGCATTTAGCTCCTGGTTTCTCACCACTCTGTGTGGGTACTGAGTAAACGGATGTCTGTTGAGCGACACGTGATAAAGTGGTGGTTAAACAATGCTATTGAACGTGCTATGCATGCATTTGGAGCGTGCACAGAGGAGTGTTGTCATTATAACCATTGCCCTTGTTAAAATTGTCATTCCATCAAGTCTCCTGATCAACTACAATTCATACAACTAAAACCCATAATGCTAACTTCTACAGGATGTCTCGCGCATCTCTAGCCAATCATTCAATGTCCGCGCAGGTTTATTAATGCAAAGTGCTGCACGCGACAGGTCCAATTAAATTCATGATGAAATGGTTTCGCTGAGCAAACATCAGTTTGAGAAACATGCAAGAGAGCGCATAATCAAGCGTAAGATCAATGGGTAGCATAATTGCTTCCGAAAACGCGCTATGCATCTCCGCGCTTTTCTACCTGCTGACGCGACAAAACAGATATTAACCGGTACTTGATGGGATCTCCATTTGCAGAACACAGTGCCCTAATTGTGGGAAATGAAGCTGAAGCAGCGACAAATCGATGACATGAAAAACCGAATGTATCAAACCTTTAATGGAATTCGGTCCTGCATATAAGTTTTTGGTTTCACCTTCTTTTAAAAATGAAGGTTTTTGAGGATCCGATATGCTGAGCATCTGAAGTTTGCACGCCTTGTCCTCCGGCGCAACGCTAGAGCGAAAAGTAAGGACAAAACGCTAATTTTGGGGTATGAAAGACTGATTAGTGCTATGGACAACAAACCGGCCGCGCGCCCAAAGTGGCTTATGCTGTTAAGTCAACTATCAACATTAGGACAAGACGATCGATATATCACATTGTTTTCTTCAGCTGGTCTTGGTTTTGTTGAAGGCTGTTACGCAAGGGAGATTGCTGCTCTTTTCGCTTGTCTAATGGATGATGAGCTCCAGGTTTTTGATAACGACTTGCTGAACGACTCGTTTGTCGGCTTTGTATGCAGAGGTCGTTTGATTTTGTACAAAAGTTTGATGTGTTCCTTTTTGGGTACTTCTTGCTTTTTGGATTATTTTTGTTTCTGGTATTCGTGGTTCAGATGGCGTAGGATTTCTTAGTCCACTCGTGAATTTGAGCATCCGCTGTTGATGAAGATCTGTTTCACTCCCACGAGCTCCAAGTGCAAAAGAATCCAAGGACAGTTTCGAAACCCTCTGGGCTCTCGAACTCGCCACACCGTGGAAAGGCTCTGGTCACACTTCTCTCATACCGGTCTCGGCATTCACAGTCGGCACTCAAGCAAATACCGCCATTAGTGGTCTTACAATACAATAAACCGGTTGTTTGGCTTTCGAGTAGCACATCAAGAAATGGAACTTTGTTATCTAAACTGGTATCGTAAGTTAATTTGAGGACCGAGATTGCTTTTAATACTGATTTGAATGTCATAAGGTCTAGGTCCCGGGCATGAAATGTTGGGACTGATAGTATGATCATCCCGTGCAGCACTTTTAATATGGCACGTGTAGAAATTCGCGAATAATGGTCCGAGATATAAGCCCATTGTTACGCTCTGCTTTTGAAGGCACAGGTGGTTACCAGGTCCCTGTAAGTGTGCATTTTTTTGCACAAGATAAGAGCAGTTTTTGGAGGATTGTATGACTGAGCTCAGGAAATGAAAAATCTCAGCGCTATAGATGTAGCGCGACATTATTTCAATTGTGTAGTCTACCAAACATATGTAAACAAGCTTTTCACCCCAAGAGAGGCTAACGCGGCTGCGACCTGACGCGTTCGCATGTAAGTCAACTCCCGGATCACCTTGAGGTTGTACTTGCATGGTGTGTAAGGCGCGATAAGGCTATTTAGTCTTTTACCCAGCTTGTGTGTTGGGGTATTGACCAGCCAGCAGACCAGTATAGGCCAAGTGGCTTGTCTGTTTTATGTGTTTTCACCTTTCCATAGACATAGCGTGAAGAAAATTTTCCAGTTATTTTTAGAAAACGAACGCTATTTTAGACAGCATTTGAAGAAACGATCCAACGATTCACATCGGCCTCCAGTTTATCTATTGGGTCACTCGCGATCTTTTCAGCCTGGATGCTATTGGTCTTGTCAAGGTACTCTTCTCTATCCAGGATGACAAACATGGATGGCTTATCAGCCCTTCTAACCACGATCTTTCATCATTACGAAGCTGCTTGGTGGCATCTAGACATTTCTTTGAAATTGGTTTTGACCTGGTATTGCTGTTTGCAATTTGCACTGGCGCTTTCACAGACAAGCTTGGCCTAGGCTTGGCCACCCTTAATAGTGGCTTGACCACCTAAATAACCCTGGCTACCCTAAGTCGAGAGTTGACTTCTTCTTTCTTTTCCTCCTTGAAAATAAGAATACCTTGATATAATTGCTCAAATGCAGCCTCTTAGCCAGTGAATCATAGTTTGAATGAAAATAGCAGTTGATCCAAAGATCGAAAAATCGCCTTTGACCGTCATTTAATTCAACGGAGGAAATGTTTACTTGTCATGCTCTGGTCCCCGGAACTGTCACATTGTCTCACGCACGCGAAATAGCTTCTTGCATATTTTGATCTTGTTGCTATGTTTTGAGTTTTACACTAGTTTCAAAGTGCTTGAACATCTAATTTACTACGTTTGCATTTATATCAAAGCCCAAAACTCAACCAAAGGATACGGCCCCAAGGGCTTGCCAGCGAACTGGTTTGATTATTTCACCTTTTCCCTCAATCTGGTGTAGAGTTAGTTTTCATTGTGTTGTAACGGCTTTATCCGCTTCTGCCGGGTCATGAGGTTTTATGCTGGTAAAAGTTGGCAAAACGCCTTATTTTATACACATCTTACGAGAGATTAGGGTGCATTCATCCTAATAAGCTTTTTCGGGGTATTGACCTTATCTTTCGTTCATTGTTGTTCGGCAGTTTAAATATCATATACATACATATATATATATATATATATATATATATATATATATATATATATATAGCTTGCTTGGAAATATATATTTCCATTTTCTGAATAAGTACAAAAATGACTGCCAGCACCAGTCAGCTCACTACACAAAAATATGAAGCAAGGTAGATCACACTCGAACACGTGAGGCCATTCTAGTCGTTCTAGTGTTTCAGGATGGTATCTCGTGAAATGACAGCAATAAAAAGTTAGATAGAATGCAGAAGACGCCAATATTTCCGAAACGTTGGGATGAAATATAGCACAAACACATTTGGTGCCTTGATGTTAAACCTGTCGAACGAGGTTAAACGAAACATGAGGTCAAATGAACATACCCAGAAAGAGGTCATAAGCGCTGAATACGGCCTGGTCTTTAATAGTCTTTAATGGTCTTCATCCATCCTATTAACGTGTTTCTTTATAGTGATGGACATTTATTTTGTCCAGACCTAACACGGGTTACCTCGCCCCGGGCGTTCGGCGTCTGCTGGACGCCATCTTTCCCAGAAATCTCTCGAGCCGCCAAAGGGCGGATCCGCCATTTAATATTAGAATAAGCCGAACTCTACAAGCCGCCCGGATTCCCCAAAACAGTCCTGAAATAGTGAGAACAGCCGGCGTTCCGCGTATTCTTGCCTGTGACCTTGTCCCCGCCTAGTTGGGCCACGTGGTCACGCCCTTGCTCCGGGCCCATATCCTTCCTCAGAGCACGAGCGTGACGACAGATGATCCCCGAGCTTGTGTCGGGAACGCGCGAAAGATTAAAACTACAAGACATTGGGGATAGTCTCAGACGGTTTGGGTACTCTTGTGTCATTTCCGAGAGCTGAGGTTCTGAGTAATCTGCACGGACTGGAAATACATGGTGCACGTGTGTATTTTTCTGCCGCAGATATCGCTAACTTCGTGTTAACATCAATAAAGATAAACTCTTCGCATGTTTTCTTGCAATCATTGAGCTTTTAGTTCCTTGATAGCTCTTAATTTCCAAATATTTTGAGATCTACAGACATATTATGGAGAAAAGCGAATCTCCATTATCTGCAGATAGATGGTCTTTGTCCTTGTTATAGTGTGCTTTAGGCTTCGAGCATTTCTGAAGTTGCGAGACAATGCTTGTCCCCTGCTCAGATACACTAGTATTGTCGTCACCTTTGTACACAACTACATTACGCCGTGAAGTTGGACAATAGTCGTTGGGTACCGAATATCGCGCCCGGAGAAGTCCGAACCTTATTGAAGGCGTTAACGTCGCTGTTGAGACGTTCACCTGTTTGTTCGATAACGATCCACCTCGACCAGTGCCGCGCATGTTGTGTCCAAACAGCAACTGGACATCTGAGCACACGTCCGTGATTAACTGCGTTATGAACAAAACGCTCACGTCCAGATGACATTGTTTTTGGTACCCTCATAAATCATTTGGGTTCCGGTGGTGTGGTGGCTAAGCTGCTAGTCTGAGGAACCATAGGTCGTGGGGTCGATCTCCCGCGCCACCCGCCCTGCCTGCCAGGGTTGAGAGGCAGACGACGCCAAATAATCAGCTGAGCTGAGCGCAGCTGAGCGCGTCGTAAATCCCGAATAACGTCATGATATATTATTTGATGTGACATCAAATCGCACATGGGAAGCAGCGACTTCGAGTCTCTGGTTCTGTCAACAATCATACGTCGTTCGCATGTTGTGTGGTCACATGTTGATTACGAGATGAACACAATATATATCGTTTTCCATTCTGCATCGTATTTCCAATGCTGGAGCTCTGCGCGAAATGCTACGAAATGTTACGAAGCAAAGTGTTGCAAAGCAAAATGTCACAAAGCGAACTGTTGCGAAATATGCTACGAAAATGCCGCGAAACACCACGAAACGCACGCCATTGGCCTACTTACGTGGGGACTCCGAGAAGAACGCGATGGGAGAAGGGGTCGTGTTTCTTGATCCACAGTCTGAGGCCATATCTGCAGCAATCAGTCATGCAGCAATCAGTCATACACAGCTCTGTCGCAGGTGCGGGTTCAACGAGTCTGGTCATCAGAGAGAAGGTGCTTTGCTCTTAACGGCGCGGACTAAGTTATGGAAACGACAACGAAGTCTATATGCATGCTCAGTGGTGACCGAAGTGACAGCAGTATTCACAGCACCGACCGAACGTTGTTTAATGGTGACAACCTGGCTTTCCGGCAAGTCATCTAAACGTGGTCATACTGTATCAAGAGCGACGTTATCCGGGCTTCGTCATTTACATTCAGACACTTCCTCGCGCAAGGTAGGACGCACTTAGCGTAGAGTGACACAGCAGACTGAGAACGGACGAAAACGCAGCCACAGGTACGCACCGATGGCTACCTTCCGCCCACAGTCACGCACAGAGGCCTGCCATTCCCTCACAGGCACGCACGGAAGCTTGCCGTCCCCTCACAGGCACACACCGAGGTCTGCCGTCCCCTCACAAGCACGCACCGGAGCCTGCCGTCCCCTCACAAGCACGCACTGGAGCCTGTCGTCCCCTCACATGCACGCCCCGAAGCCTGTCGTCCCCTCACATGCACCCACCGGAGTCTGCTGTCCCCTCACAGGGACACACCGTAGTCTACCGTCCCCTCACAGGCACGCACTGAAGCCTGCCGTCCCTCACAGCCACGCACAGAGGCCTGCCGTCCCTTCACAGGCACACACCAAAGCCTGCCATCCCCTCAGGAAGCAAGACCAAAATATCACGCAGTTTGTCGCCAAACGTAGACCGTGTCCCGTGACAAGGCGAGGCAACATCTGTTCACATCTGAACACCGATAGAATATGTTGAACACCAATAGAACACATTTGAACACCAAGCGACCACATTTGGCCCCCGAGATAGCACATCAGAACACCGCTCGTCGAGAGCAGCCTTCGCTTCCGACCGACCCACCTCTGGGCGAAGAGGGCGTGAGCGGCGTGGTGGCCCCGTCCGAGCCGCTGGCCCTCAGGTCGGCGGCCGAGGACGAGCGACGTCGGAAGAGGTCGGGAGAGAGCAGCGGCGGCAGGGTAAAGGTCACGTCCCGGGACGAGGACGAGCGCCGAGAGAAGACGTCGGGAGAGAGCATGGGAGGCATGGAGAACATCTCGCGGCCGCTGCTGACAGAACAGGGGCGCGTCAGCCGGCGGCAGAGCGAACGGTTCCATGTTGTGTGACGTCATATTGGACGGTGATGTTATGGGCTCATGAGTTCATGAACACGCAGGCGGACGATGCGTGTCGGTAAAACTCTGGAGACAAAATCCTCCGCCAACAAAGTCCTTTTTTCACAAATCCGGGTATTTTACCTCAATGCTGATATTCCCTGTCCGCCATTTAAAATGTCCGGATACTCTCCTTTATCAGGCCCGCGTTCCTCATTACCAAACGCCGTTCACGAGTTGCGACCCATGACGTCAGAGGTTAGTGCGTCACAACAATTCCCATGGCTTGGAGGATCGTCGTTTGTGGATGACGTCGGCACTTGCGATGTCGTCGGTGGCAACCCAGGCAGGTACTTTGCCAACGAGCAAGGCGGCCCAAACGACGATGCTCTGTCCATTTGTCAAGCTCCACGTCACGACTGCGTCTTTCCATCATCATCATTATCATCATTATTATCATCACCACCGCCACCATCGCCACTATCATTCTTATAATCATCATCACCATCCGGGAGGTCCACGTCATCACTGCCCCAAAAGGCAAAACTGTGTCCAAGATGGCCCCTGTCCAGTCCCTCTGCCGCCAAATGGCCCGGTCTCAGCCGCTATTACCATCCCAGACCTCGGAACCACTTGTTTGCAGTGCGGCCAGTAACAAGCGTCGAGGCAGCTAAAAGCCTCCGCACTCGGCGGCTCCCGTCGCCGGCCAATCGAGCACGTGCGGTCCGCTCCCAGCTTGATTGGCGCCATATTTGAAAAGCTTGATTGGCGCCATATTTGAAAAGGTCGCGTTCGGCGAGACGGCGGCAAATTGGCAAGCACGGCTGTGCCGAGCACTGGCCCCGCTTTGACGGGTGTTGTAATAGGCAGGGGCGGTGCCAGGGGACGGAGGAGGGGAGGCTGCGACACTTTATCAGAAATGTCATTGAAATTCAGCACGACGCATGGAAACACTGATTCCAGATGCTAAATTCATGGAAAGCTGTGACGATACACGAGAACGCTGACTGCAAAAAGAGATAAGAGCTGACTGCTCTTACAAACAATTACGTGATGCTTAAAGGCTTTACTACGATGATTTGTACACGCTCGCCGCTGCCGTGAAAGTGGTGACAACCAGCGCAACTATGGCTTCATACCGAAGCTTAGTTTGCTTGTGTAAACATCAGCGGTAATACGCGTATTTACAGTGTTTTCATAGAATAGAAGCATTGACGAGCTCGTCCGCTTCCGCGAAAAAGGACTTTTCCCAGCACATTCCTGCAGTTTTCCTGGTTGTCCTCATTACAATAAAATATTCCCTACATCTATGAGCTAAACGGCTCTTCTCCGACCACGACCTGAAATGGCGATTGTTGTGGGATACATTGCTACGGAGCTTGGCTACGCTGATCCGCATTGGAGACGGCAAAACAAGGATGGGATATGCCCACAAAGTAGCAAATAAATAACTTGGTTGAGCTTTGCAATCTATGTTTCGCCAGTGGCAACGCTGTCAACACAGCTCACGCTTAGAAATGCCGAGAGAAAGAGCGCAAACGTCCAACTCACGAGCGGTTTTCTAAATTTATCACCGGCAGTCGCAGCGGCACCGTCGCAGCCCAGCCTTAATTCTGGCGGCTACAGGACTGCCGGGACACGTTCGGATGATTCTCGTTTCTGATTGGCTGGCCATTCAGGCTGCCGGAACAAGGAAGCGAACGGCTGGAAAGGTCAGTGGCCTTTTAAGGCGTTCGTGATGTCTATTTCAAACAGAGGATATAATCTTTGGGACCTGTCACATAGGTCCCCTGCAATATGACCTCGTTTTGGCGATCACTGTCACTAGATCGTGCGCGCGAGCCACCGAAGACATACAAGAAACAAAGGAATTTTAAGGGCACTAAGATATACAGGAGTCGACTGTCAAGCCTAAACAGACCAGTGAGAACTTTAAACAGCACTACTTCACTATAAAGGGACATTGGACACTATCTACAAAAGTCTCGTTAGCTCCATATGCGCGGTTACTATGACGCAGCGCCTGCATGAAGTGCTGGCCACTAGAGAGGTGGACGGATAATTCCACAATACCTGCCAGCGATCCCCCAAGCAGGGGCCCAAACAGCTATGCTAGCGCCGGCTGGGCCAGTACGCGTCCGGTTTTTCGCGCGCCTATAAACAAAAACGCGCCAGTTCCGCGACACGTGCCCACTCAGCAGTCTCCGGCAGCTGCCGGACTTGCGTCGGTGATCGATCCTTCTCCCCGGGGTCAAGAGGTCAGGCAATTGGACGCGAGACGAGGCCGCAGGCGGCCAGATGGAATCCGTATGGGTCAGGGGTCAAGTTTGACTGGCCCGCGGGCACCACCGATGGGCTCCACATTAATGCTGCAACAAAAACTCCTATCGACACGAGTATCTGACTGGCCCGCGGACACCGCCGATGGGCTCCACATAAGTGCTGCAACAAAAGCTCCTACCGATATGAGTGTCATCATACGATGTTATTTCTACGCTGTTATTTCTATACGCGGTTATTTCTACTGTCAGTTCTTATGCATGGCACTAGTGCTACGCGACAGGCATGAATTGCAAAAATTCATACTCGTCAGTACTTCTTCTGCAAACAGTTTTGAAACCACAACTTTTACACGACAATACTTCTACTGCATAAACTCATACGCAACACTAGTGCTACACGACAGCATTTATGCTTCAAAAAATTATACTCGTCATTACGTCTGGTGCAAAAATATTTCAGCCATTCATTAAACATGACTTTATTTCCACTGCAAAGGCTTTTACACTACAATAGTGCTCCAGGACAGAATTAACACTTCAAAAACTTACACCCGTTATGATCTCTGCTGCGAAAACTCCTACAGCCATTGCTTATACCTGAAATTATTTCTACTGCAAGGACTTATACGCAGCATAAGTGCCACACCACACAACTTGTACCCTAAAAATGTCACCTTTAACCAGTTGCAGTTGAAGTAATGTCGCGTATAATGAAATGTGCATGAATTCTTGCTGTAAAAGAAATGACTGTTTTTTGTTCTGGCAGTAAAAGTTTTGCCGAGTAGTACTCATATCGTGTATGAGTGTTTGCAGAGGAGATGTCGCGTTAAATTAAAGACCGTATAAGCTTTTGCTGTAAAAATTTGTTGTGTAGCACTCACAGAGTTTATAAATCTTTGCAGGAAAAGTGAGGTCGCACAAAAGTAGAGTTGTAAAAGTTTTTGCAGCAGAACTTATACCGCATATAACTGATGTCGTAGCACTCCTGTCGAAAAGAGCTTTTGCCGTATCACTCCCGTCCGAATGAATTTTTGCTGTAGCACTCCTGTCTGAAGGAGTTTTTGCCGTAGTGCTAACGTCGTAACACTACGCCGATACGCACAGACATTCCGGCGGCCACGGGACTGCGGGTTTGCCAGCAACGAGGGTCTGACGCCATTGAAACCCGTGATCGTGTGTTTTGATGCTGAAACGAATCCCAGGATGTGGAATATAGATCCAGCCGCCTAAGGCTTGCGGACCTCAGGATTCATGTCATGGGATGTCATATGTCCGACATGTGACAAGTGTTCACGCACGGTCAGAGTGAGGGATGGGTTTCCCACGGCGGTAGGAGAATAGGGTCCCTCCAGGGGGATTACTGAGATCTAGCAAAAGTTTCAACGGGCTTCACGTATGAATAACCGACATTCAGTTATACTATGTCATTTAACGATTTTCCTGAACTTTTGACCGTGGAAATTTTTGGTAGTTGTTATGTGTCAAGAATGGCGTCCTCCAATAATATTAAAGAGTCATGCTGGTCATTATTGGGCGGATAGCAGCCATCAGTAAGGTCCTACACCAGAGGTGTACTTTCCTCTTCAGGTGGGGAGTTCCAGCCCCTCTCCAAACTTGGGTTCAAGCCTTCTTCCACGCGCACCCCATCCCAGCTTTGAAAAGAAAATGGGCCAATCCTGGTGAAACTTGCATGTTGGTGTATTTTTGGGTAAGGCTGCAGCATTTTGGGGCCTCAGTACTCCCCGCACTCATTTCGCGAACCCACGCCCCAGGTCTAACCCGTGACGTCCAGAGTGTGAGACAGCTGTCGGTTATAGTCTCATCGATGCTTATCACATGTGGAGCTGTAAGGGCGCGGCGTCAAAAGACTTAGTCAGGAAGAAATATGTTGAAGACGATTAGGCGAAGCGATGTGTTGTGGGATATTTATTCAAGCTTTTGGCGAAATATGTGGCGAGTCTCCTTCCACATGCTACGAAATGGTTTGCATCGATGACTTTTATATTGCACTCCTACATGTCACAAAGTGATTTACATGGAAGGCGTCTACTTTGCACTGCCAGCTGTGACAAAATGACTTGCATGGATGACGTTCACGTTGCACGGAAGCAAATGAGCGTAGCCTTTCCGTCAAAGCTTCTTCACATGTCTTACGTCATGATGTCCGACATGTGACAACTTGACTGGGTTGGATATTTAAAAGACACCGGAAAAGACAGAAGACGCATGAGTTTTCCAGTCGCCACCACAAAACGCGAAGCGGAATTTCACCAGTGACAGTGATGGGACGTAGACATCAACGTTGTGGAAGCCTACCAACAGACATGCGACCGCGGAGAAGATGACGGAATCCCAGCCATACAATGCAATCAAATTTCATCAGTTAAGACAGGAAGTAATAGCCTTATTCCTCAGAAAAAACAAATGTCTCCACTCTCCTGGCTTTTCTCCGAGGAAACAGCTATTACTACTGTCTTATCTACGTGAATAATGCTCCTCGCTAATGCACTGAACAACTTATGTAAATTTCACCGGCGATTTACTGAGGTAAACATAGATTGGGCACGGATTGTACCACCCTCTGAAAAAATGTTGGCTTTTAAAGAAAATATGAGATGGACCAAACTGCATCAAGAAAACCGCAAGACAAAGCAGGTTTAATTCACATGTTAAATACCTACCAGAAAAGGCAGAATTGTATCAGATCTGGCATAGATCTATCCTTACGGTAGCACTGGGTGCGGCAACCCGACCAGAGGCCTCTTGGGTGCTTCGATTTGGCTCCTTATGGTTTAAATGATTACTACGCGCTTCTCCAAAACAATGCCGATGATGTAACGCAAAATTGGAAACAAACCATTCCGCCAACGCTGCTCAAATCGGGTCTCCAAGCAATATGCTGCCCTATGCCTTCGAGGATATTACTCAACAGCAATCTGGAAAGCCCGCTAGCGCCATCTGGGGACACACCGGATGCAATTCGCTAGCCTCTCCCGGGATCAATGTTCAACTCTGCACTGACCCGGCATCTACAGGCGTCGGGTTTGCCGTCGGCTGCCAGTTTTGTGGGCGTGCGCTCGGCTTGTGTTCGTGGTTGTTAACGTCCAAATAGGACTCTGTAAATATTACTGGCTGACAGATTACGCCGTATGGCCTGCCCGGTTCAGTGACCAGGTTGAAATTCGAAAGGCAAAAAGGCATGAAAAGGCACGCTATTCGCAGTATATTGCTTGGTGAATTACCAAACACTTTTCGAGGTAATCTCTGCCTTACACATTGCAATTGGCGACATTGGCTACATCGCTTAGTACTGTTAACGTATGCTATTAATGACTGCAAATTAAAATTACCTATTCATGCAATTCATGAATTTGCTCACGTTGGGTGATATGGAACGTCTAATTAAGCTCCATCGGCTTTGGTGCGGCAGAAAAACAAGGCAGGTGAGCAATTCCGACCTACCACTAGCAGACGAAGAGTGCGACGCATTCACCGCATGCTGATCTTACAGACGTGTTGCTGTGCACGGCTAAAACACTGCCGTGTTATGTGCATGCTGGTCTTGCAGACTGCTGTGCGTCGCTAAAACACTGCCGTGCCCCCCGCTGACGTATACATCGTCTCCGTCAGTCTAAATTACGCCTAATCAAACACACTGTGCTGTGTGGGTAAGTGCTCTGATGCTGGGTGCTTGGCGCGCTTACTGACCTGCGGAAGCTCATCCTGGAATCGGAATCAGGCAGGTCATGATTCGCTTTAGGATTCTTGGCTTTGCTGATCAGGCAAGTCAGTGTTATATTATACTGTTGCTGGTGCTGTTTTGCCACTGCATACTGACGGTATTACAACAATACATGCGATTGCAATCCGTGCTACATTTGCATAAACTCCGCTGTGCCCAAAGTTGCATCCTTTATCAATCCCACATATTGCAACCTAACAGTTTAACTGAATGCTGCAAATGAATTCCGAATGTTTCAACTTTTGGTACGCAGCATTTAGATCCTCCAGCTTCTGCCGGGTGCGAGGATGAAGATCAAGGTGTTTGTTTTTCAACGAAGCATCTCCGAAACTTAACTCGTACTGTTCCTTTTTACGACTGCCATACTAACCAAACGGCTTATAGACGATTTTTCTGCCAAAGAGCATTATTCCAATGCCCACGTAGAGCTCTTGGAAAAGACCGGACGCGATCGCGCAGACAGCAGGCAATGTGCATTTACGAAATGCGGAGATCACCTTTCACGCTGTTTCAGGTACTTACTCGGCGGGGAAGACCAGTTTGTTCTGGAGAGACTTGGCCATCTGCGTTACATGGTCCATGTCTGGAACAAAGGAACAGTTTTTGGCGAAGCAGAACTGCACCGTGGAGCGACTGAACCCGGAGCAGGTTATTTTGAACTTTCAATGACGGCGCGCTGTCAGCGGAACCATTCAAGGACAGTGAGCCCTGTGAATTGGATTGTTCGAAACTCAGATATAGATGTTTGATCGATGGTTGTCATTTGTGTGTTTCGTGGCACTTTGGTGAGTAATACACGCTACCAACGACGGACAATTCACCAGGTTATCTTCTCATGCCCATACAGAGAGTACAAGGGAAATCATGTTCCAAGTGGGGAATTCCGTCGAAGACCTCCAGCGAAGAATGTCGACAATTAGTGACGCCGGAGATCGCAACCAGGAGCGGCTGCATGTCACTTGACGCCCCAACAGTGGCACAATACGAAACATCACCCGCCAATTTTCCGCGTCCACGATCCCTCCTCCATCGGCTGTCATCTCAACGAAGGAAGGTGCTGAATTGGATTCAAAATGCCACTAAAAAATTCCACTAAAATAGAAGAACGCAAAACGCAAACAAGTAAAAACTATTATAAAAATGTTGGGCACATCTTACCAGTCCCTTCTCCAGTGATTACACCCGAGGTGATCACCATTGAGGCCGCTGTTGTCCTGTCTCTGTCCTGGTCCTGACCCCATTCATGGTCGAGGATTACGTTCCTTACTTGCCCCATTAATGTTCGAGGTCCCGGCTCATTAATGTCTGCTTTTTTGTCTCCTCTAAAATGGCGCCGAAGGAGATCGAAACCAGGTGGAAAAGGCTTCTGACAATCAGTAGCTTTTATTGCTTGTGTACGTCTCTCTCTCTCTCTCTCTCTCTCTCTCTCTCTCTCTCTCTCTCTCTCTCTCTCTCTCTCTCTCTCTCTCTCTCTCTCTCTCTCTCTCTCTCTCTCTCTCTCTCTCTCTCTCTATCTCTCTCTCTCTCCTTCTCTCTCCTCTCTCTCTCTTCTCTCTCTCTCTCTCTCTCTCTCTCTCTCTCTCTCTCTCTCTCTCTCTCTCTCTCTCTCTCTCTCTCTCTCTCTCTCTCTCTCTCTCTCTCTCTCTCTCTCTATCTCTCTCTATCTATCTATATCTAGATCTAGATCTAGATATCAATATCTCCTTCTTTCCCTTCTGGTGTGTTGCGCCGCGCCCGCGCGCGCGCGTGCGGTGTGTGTGGTGTGTGTTGTGTGTGTGGTGTGTGTGTGTGTGTGTGTGTTGTGTGTGTTGTGTGTGTGTGGGTGTTGTGTGTTGTGTGTGGGTGTGTGTGTGTGTGTGGGTGTGTTGTGTGTGTGTGTGTGTGTGTGTGTTTGTGAGCTCCCCTAGATAAGTGAAGGCAATCACTTGTCGGTGGTGCCCATGCCACCCATCCACACCGTGGCCGAGCTGTATGTACCGCCAGGCTGTTATCTGACTGTTTCCACACGCCCAGTGCTAGACGGAAGTGAGGAAGGGCTGAAGACCTCCAACATAATGGCTCCAAACCTGAACATTCAGGCCACCAGTCCATGTTTGCAAGCTCGCTCGCTCTATCACCCCATCCTCGAGTAAAAACACAGCGCCGACGACGCTACACCTCATGTCAAAGGTCAAATGACCTCCGAGGACGGGATATTGTTGACCGAGGCCAAGTTCCAGGGTGTTATTGCAATATCTGGTGTTCATAAAGCTGGTAATAAATGTCTCTACCGCTGTCGGTTCATAATGCAGCTTTTCAAAGTGTCACGCCGTGTACCAGAGCTGTGACATTTCTCAGGGGCTGAGGGAAGCGGCTCAGCTGGGGAAGAATCTCCCATATTAGTACAGACGGCATTGTGACAAATCTCACAGGCGTGCCCCTTTCGGTCAATCTCAGCCAGTCCACTAGCTGGCGCCTAAATTTAGCAGCCAAATAGGGCTGGCATCGGAATGATATTCGTCCTGCCATATTCATGTCGGTAAGCTTTTACCCATTGATAACAATACAAAAATGTTGAACTTGTGATTCTCAATCATCTAGTATATCAAATGTCAACGCGAAAAATAGACGTTTACGTGCGTGCTGTCCGACGTGTAATACCTCATATATCGATGCTTATCCCTTTGAAGAGAACTGCCGCCAGTTCTATGGAATGTTTTACGTCAGGAGCTTTATAGAACATGTTTTCTGACGCCAGTTTTCGTAACACATTGGACTATCTACGGTTAGACTTAAGCGTGCAAGATGCTGGATGAGAGCTGGTCTGTGATGCCCCATGTGTTGAGACATTGCCCCATGATAAACAACTGACACATGGGAAACATTTACGTATGGCCAAATAAAATACGCAATACGTGGAAATTTTGTTTTACTTTTGTTTGTGGTTTAAAATGTTTGGTGCTTATATCGCGAAAGTAAACGAATGTTATCTTAAAGTAACCTGACCTGGCTAGAAAATCAACAATTTTCATCGCACTTGAACAAGTACAAAACATGTTTTTAACCATGCATAATGGATATATTGAAAAAATAAGATAGCGATGCAAGCTATTTGTCACAAAACTTGTTAACGCCGTTTGTGATGCCATACTTTTTCACCATTGCAACCTGCGCAAACGCCTGTCCAACGCACAGTTACGGGCTATCATAACCAAACACCTCCAGTTTTGGACTCCAAATTTGTCATGCTCAGTTCCATTGCCTGCCAGTCAAGGAATGCAAACCGATTTGCCACCAGACATTATAAGCTGCCAATGTAACGATGACATGCATATGTGCGCTTAAAAACATACTTTTCCTCGAGAAAAATCAAAATATTCAGGCAAAACAACATGAGCTAAAATTGGTCAGCAACACATGACTGATTGCCAACAGGGTGCCAAGAACAATACGGCGCGTAAACCTACATCCAATTGAAAAAAAAGGACTAATCGGCAACACCAAACGGCGCAAAATCTCGCCGAGAAATCGTTTACATGGTCCCGTCGGGATTCGGCGATCTAAAATGCCAACTCAGCTCACACAAGCGTTGCAAACGTTCCAAACAGCAAAACAAGCTCGGCCTCCAAAAGCCTTTCTCAGCACCGGAAACCGCATCAGCCCAGACCGAGCTGCGTTCGTTCACAGGGCGACAGCCGGTACACTCGGCACTGTTTGCCTGTCAGGACTAGTGTTTTCAGCATATCTGAAAGCTCAAAAGTCTGTGGCACGCTCACATCGTCATGCTTCAGGCTCGGCGACAACATTGTTTCCTTTGCCGCGAAGTGAGAACTAGCCTCTACGGTTTGTGCGAATACGCAGGCGGTATTTATAGCGTATGTCACAGAGCAAATACCGCCTACGTCTGTACGAGTCGCGGCTTACATGCCATCAGCAGCGTCAGACGAAATACGAACACATAGGGGGCCTATGCGCGTCGGTTAAGAGGACGAGTCCTGAACTGCGCTCCCTCATCACAGCACGCGCTCGGACCGGAGCCGCGAGGCCGGCCCCAATGGCGGCCGAGCCTCTGGTATTCGCCTACGGTGGGCACCTCAGGCCTCCCCTAGTGCTTCGATGACCCCGGGGCCTTCCTGACCTTTAGTGAACTTCATGACCCTGGGGCGGCGTTTCGCAGCTGCTGGGAAGCGAACGCGGCGGGGCAGCTTGAACAGCAGATGCACTTGCTCCCATGAGCGTGGGGGGCGGTGCCAGGCATTGAAATGAGTAGCGAGGGCCGGTATACAGACCACTACTGTTCTCACGTTTGCTTATTGCGAATGGTCGCACGTGCTAGGTTCGCAAATGGCTGTTAAGCGCGGTTGAAGTACGGTGTTGTGCTGGCAGTTGCCATGGATACAAGCTGTGTACGCATATGTGTACCACCACTACGCATAGTCGCCTTTTCTCCTTCTTTCTTAGGTTATTTTCATCACACCGGACAGGGGGAGTGGACACCATCTGTGACAGCTTCTCAATGTCATGCAAGGCCAATGACCGGCTATGATCTCGTTTTATCTCAGATCTGTGTTATACAAGCCTGCTTCCTGAATCTGGTTTAGAACACGACTGTGTGCACACCGAATGGCTTCAAAGGTAGTCATGTCGGATAAGTCACATCCCGTCCATATTCGATACCTCCACTGCGACAACTGTTGTCATTTGTGTCATGGTCACAACCCGGATGAATATTAAATCGCCAGTTTTAACCTTGGAGACGAAGCTGGGTCATCTCAGGCCTGATCGTGAAGCTCCCTGCAAGCGGTAACGCGGCAGCCGTAGCGCGATAGCGTAACCAATGGCGTAACCGAACGGTAACGCGATGTGCCGACTGTTGGTGGCTCCGCACGCCCCGGCGCGGGTTATCTGCTCCAGAAAGTTCCGTCACTGCAAAATCACCGAACCAACTCAACAAGGCGTTAAAAAAACAAGAGCAATTCAGCCACGAGTGGCACAGCGTAACGACCACGGTCATCCTGATTCACGAAAGGTCAAAGGGCCACACCGATTCACAGAAGGTCATAGCGCTTGCGTCGTTTCGCGAGAAAGGCTCATATTGTATGTGATTTACGCGTGACATTCAAATTCCCGGGATTAAGGAAAACACCTCGTGTGGATTTACTCGTACCAGCCTTACTGCCATTACTCACAAGGCCTTGCTCACCCGTTTGCCAGACTCTCTACCAATATGGCCAATGCACTTCTCTATCCACTGTACGTTTACCTGCCCGTTTGAAATAACGGGTTTTCTCAAGTCTGATTTGCCCTAAAGCGACTATGCACTTTATAAACCATACGCCGATTATCTGTTTTATAGATTTGAGCTGGGCCATACCATGCCATAATCTGAAACTGCGGTTCAAAACAAGGCATACTTCAAGTGAAAGAATCAGACGTCATTCTGATATGCGACGTAGCGTTATTCCTACATCTAAAGAGCATTGGACAAGTGGAAAACATGTTAAGGCATCACCGCGCGCATTTAACAGCTTTATGATATATGAAACGTTGGAAGGCAAGGTCGGCAATGTCAAGCGTCACAGAAATTACAATGTGGAACAAA